CTGTTTCGCTAAAACACTCATTTTTCATTGCTACCTGATTCCACTTAGCGCTCAGTGAGTTCGTTGTAACGCGCACGGGCATCGTACAGCTGGCAGCAGGGAGCGCACGCTGGCACCGCAGCGCATCAGCGGCCGCGCAGCCTCGTTGTGCTGTTTAGCGCCGTTTTGTTTGCGTTGCCATCTCGGTTCATCAAAACCTTTGGTGCTCGGTGTTTAGCAATTAATTTTGACCCTGGAAATCAATCGGCATGAGTCAGAAACATGCAACCGACTCTGTAACTGCAAGTGCTGAGAAAAAACAGTGAGTCCACAATCTCCCCCACCCACGTCCTGCCTTGCAGAGGGGCTGAGCACTGGGAGCTGTGCATGCTCAGGCAGGTTTGCGACTCTCTTTACTGATTTTGTCCCTGTTACAACTCATGATCCTAAATACTCTTGCTGAGCTTCCTTATGTAACACGTAGCTGTCTTCCTTATGTTCCCATGTAACACGTAGCTGAATATTCAGACTCTATAGGAGCTAGCAAGGTCGCTGTTTGGACAACTATAAAGTAACTTGCTAGTGCAGGCCCTGCAAAATATGAGGCATTTGGAGAGATTTTTAGAGTTGAAGGTCAGAAGGAAGCGTTGTATCGTCTGCCTCTTCTGCACAGCACAGCCTATTAAATTTCACCCGCTTATCACTGTGCTGGGCGCATATACACGTGCATTAACATGCCTTAGTTAATGCACATTAAATCTAGTACCTCCATTGTGAGGTATTAGGAACATGCACATTAGCCTGTCTTAATGTACATTAACTAAAGAGCATGGTTTTTAAGCGATGCTTAATGCACATTAGCCTATTTTAACGCGCATTAGCTAAATAGCACAGTTTTTTGTGATGCTTTAATGCTCAGTAAAATAGGCTATGCACATTGAAGTGCACGTGTAGATGCGTTGAGTCTTGAAACTTGTGTTCCTATCTCCAGCTCCCTGCTGAGCCTCGGCTTTGTGAACACTGCCCTGTGTTCTCTAGGCACCACCTGCACACCTTGTTCCAAGACATAAAATTGCTCATTTGGCCACCATAAAACATTTGAAAAGTGGTTTGAATGGGCCCAGCTTACCAAATGAACCAGGTTGCCCTGGTTTTGAAGCGTTGTCCCATCATTTCTCTTTGCCCCGAGCATCCAGGCCTCTTCCTGTGTTTCCTTTCCCTTATGGAGCTAAACACAAGACATTGCTTTACCTGGTATTTAGCTTAGGCTGTACCTGCTTCTGTCCCAGACCTGAGGAAGGGCACTCGGTGTCGAATAGCTTGTCTAATTTCTCTCTCCCTGTAGAAGTGGGCCATAAAAGAGATCACTAAAAAAACCTTTATTCTTGCATGTGCACTTTCTGGGCTATAACACTAACACTGCTTGCTTGTGGCAGCTGGCTCAAGTGACATCCAGTGGCAAAAAAAGGGAGCAGCAGCATCCAGAAACGTATATATATCTTTTGCAATCTCTCCGGTGGTCTAATAGAAGTTCTAGACGTTGGTGTTTCTTGTTGTCTGCCTACGTACACACACTCACACAAACACACGAGGCTTTTATCAGACCAACTCAAAAATCCTTCTTTGCAAGCTTTCAGGCCCAAACGCCCTTCATCGGGCTGAGGAAGCATCTGCCGAAGGTCTGCGCAAGATGCAAGGAAGAGCCTAGACCAGGGTGGGCAAAATGTGGCCCGGGGGCCAGATGCAGCCCAGCAGGCCATTCTATCCGGCCTGCGGGGCCCCTAAAAAGTTTAGAAAATTCATATTTATCTGCTCCTGGCTGCCTGTCGTGTGGCACTTGGTGGCTTGCCAAAACTCAGTCAGCAGCCCTCTGCCCGAAATAATTGCCCGCCCCTGACCTAGACCCCCTGCAGCCTGACCGGGGGTGTTATGTCCTACACGAGGCCTTTTCCCCATCTTTAACTTTCCCTGAGCCTGCGTTGTTGAACTTTCCCTGAGCCATACGCTGTTTCCCTGGGCTTGCACACCACCTGATGACTGGTGTGCAAGCCCAAAAGCTTGCAGAGGGGCTAAACTCGATCTTCAAAGGTCCCTTGCAGCCTATGAAGTCTTCTCTATGCTTGTTTGCAGTGTCTCAGGTGCTCTCATAAAAAGTATGAAAGGAGGGTTAGACATTTGCGTTCCTCCTTGTCTGCCTACGGACACGCGCACGCGCACACGCGAGACTCATAGAAACCCACGAGCAGGAGCGCCAGGAAAAGGGCAGCAAGGAGGAAAGCAGAGAAACTCCACTTCCCAGCAGCCTGTGCGCACGCGATACTGCCGAAACTCCACCGTCGTAGCGAGCTCTATTTTTAACCAATGAGATCAGGGGAGAGCGCGAACGCAGTCCCCCACTACCACAAATTATGCAGTCGAGTTTCCCGCATTTGGGGAAATCGCAGGGGTCAGCACGCCCGGAGTGCAAGGGGCGAGCCTCGCCCTGGGAAAACCTCCTACTGGATCAAGGTATCTCCCCTGCCAGGTAAGTATGCGCCAGCCGGCCGGCAGCACGAGCCACCTCCACGGCCTGTCACGCTCCATCGAGGGCAAGTGCATAAAACCGCAGTTATGGCCATCAACCCCTTCTCTGTAGTGTGGGTGCTGATCCTGCTCGCTCCGTCTCCCCCTCAAACACCTGCTCTGCCCCCCGCGACCGCGCTCGGCGCCCCACTCCCACAATGCCCAACTGCCCGCCTCGCCCACTCCTCCCGCTATCTGCATACGGCCGCCCACTCCCCGCCCATGCTGCAGTCGTCACAGCGCTCTGCCCGCCCCCTGCCGGTCTGGCGCGCGGGGGGGCGGGGCGGAGGAGCTTGCCGCCTTGCACCACCTCATCCTTTTCAACTAAATAACCATTTAACTGCCTAAAACGTACAAAAATAAATACGATTGAAATAAAAATTTGCAAAATTAGATAGATAAATATTGTATATGTTATGTTTATAATGTTTATTACATATTATATCTCTATAATTTTGCAAATAAATTTACAAATAAATAAAATTGCCATTATTTAGCAAATAAGTAAATAAATATATAATTCTGCAGATCAATAAAATTGCACATAAGTAAAATTGCCATTATTTTGCAAATAAGTAAATAGATATATAATTCTGCAGATCAATAAAATTGCACATAAGTAGAATTGCCATTATTTTGCAAATAAATAAATACAATTGAAACAACATTTGGCAAGTATATATAAAATTTTGCAAATTTGCAAATGTATTTATTTTTTGTAAAGTTTGACCCTGAGCAGAGGGGCCAGACCCTCTAGCCAGGACCTCAGGGGGTCTCTTCCAGCCCTACGTTCCTATGAGCTGGAGCTGGGAGCAGCGAGCAGAGCAGGGCCAGGACTGGGAAGGGAAGGGAAGGGGCAGAAGGGGCATATTCCAGCTCTGCACTGTCCCAGCAGGCGGGTCTGGCCAGACCAGGCCTCTGCGGGTGTCTGCATGGGGGCAGCTGCAGCCTCCTGGCATGCGGGTGGGGAGCGGGGGGTCATCCTGGACAGCGGCTGCCCCCGAGCTGGGGCCACACGGGACACAAAATGGAGGAAGAATGCACATTCCCCAAGGCAGCGTCCAGCCAGGCACAGGGCAGGCTGGCAGACCTGTGCCCATTTTACAGATGGCCAACATGAGACCTAAAGGGATGGGGCAAAGAAGCTTGGGGCAGGTCCCAGCTCCCTCCTGTGCCACCAGGGCCCTGCCCTCTCCAGCCACAGCACCGCGTGGCCCTCCCCACGTGATCACTGCGCTGTGTCTTCTGGTCGGGGCAGCCGCCTTCCTCCTCGGGGCCATGTGAGGTTCGCACCCCTTCCTGATCTGCCCACGCTCCCTGAGGTTATCCCACAACCTCCTCTGTGGGCCACAGGCCTATTCAATGTGCCCTTGAAGGGTCACGGGACTAGGCCCATCACAGGAGCTATAAGCCTCCCTAATGACACATCAACTAAATACGTGGAACAACAAAAAAGAAACCAGGAACAGGAGGGAGGTCACAGGTTAATAACTAAGGCATCAGAAGGGGACACCGAACAGAGCACCACTGAAGGTGTCCGTGGACACTGACAGTGAAACTGCCCAGATAAGTGAGCAGAGGAGTGCTAGGAAAGCAGCCCCCCACTCACCCGGCTCCTCCCGGCCACAGCCTCCTTCCTGGTGTGGAGGGGAGAAAGGCCAGGGGGAGCGCGCTGGACCCTTTGATTCCCAGGGCAGGGAGGCAGGGGCAGCTGCAGTGTCCACTGTACACAGGCAGACAGCAGGGCTGCCGGCACCAGAGCCCGTGGCAACCCCCATGGCAGAGCCAGTGTCCCTCGCACATGCATCAAAGAGCAAAGGGATGGGGTCAATCGGCCAGCATGCATCCACGGCACGTCGTGCCCTCTATTTCCTCACAGGCAGCGATGCTCCGCGCCCCAGCGGATGTGCTCCTACCAACTGCGGTGCATGATGCGATGCCAGCAGCTGTCAGGGCTCTGCCTACAGCGTATGGGGCAAGACTGACCCCAGGAAGGAAACCCACTTGCTCTGTGTGTGTGTGCGAGGGAAGCACTAGCAAGGGGCTCTTCATTTGCCTCCTTGGGACTAAGGAAGGGAGAGACCGAGATGGCAGAAGGGGGCAACGCTGAGATGCCTGGTGGGAGATGCAGTGACTTGAGTTTGCACTGGGACATGGCAACTGAGTCTGCATGGCACCTCTGCCGTGAGGCAGCCTGGGCACATGAGTCCCTGAAGCTATTCAAGAAGGGCCAGGAGCCTGGGGAGATGGATGTCGGGGAAGGAGGGCACAAGCAGCAAGAGCAGGACTGAAGAGAGGGCAGCTCCCTGATATCGGCTGTATTGAGGCCAAGACCGGGAGCAATCCAGCAAAGCGGACGTAGGAGTAAGCCAGGCTGGACTGCTGCTCACAGCCATCAAGACCACTCTTCTTTACACCGGAACAAGAGCCCTTCACACAGCCCAACAGACTCCCTCTGCATGAGTGAAGACGTGGATATTTAATCAGCTGCCCTGACAAGCACCAGCTACAGCCATTTACAGTGAGGAGCGAGACACAGTAGGAGCTTCACATGATCTGGAGCAGAAGTGCCTTGAAACGGCACCACTAGGACACACGTGACTCTGCTGAGCCCATCTTGGTCCCTGGAGGAACGTTGTGTGCTCCGGTCAGGTCTGCACGACGCGGGGCAAAGCCAGGGCACGGGTCACTTGAGCAGCTTGAACTTCTTCAGGTACTGGTGCACTTGGTCCTTGGGGTAGGGCCGGAGCGCGATGCAGGTAGCAATGTTTTCCGGCTGCTCGATCCACATTTCGTGGTCGACGCTGTGTTCCTTCAGGGTCTCCGCGAGGGTGGTCAGGGCACCTTCATCCGGGGCCTGGGGAACAGGAAAAGGAAGGATGAGAAACCTGCACAAAACGATGCCAGCAGCTGGCACCAGCAGAGACCAGGGAGGGAATCTGAGAGACGACAGGCTGACCTGGAGATTTTGGTTACGCAGGAATGTAAGAACTGCCCTGTACTGGGTCAGACCCTGGGTCCCTCTGGCCCAGTCACCTGTCTCACAGAGCGGCACGGAAAGGGAGAGCAAACGGGTCTGATCAGGGTGTTTCCCCTGTTCCTCTCTCACCTGCAGCCTCCAACATCGAAGGCCCAGGAAGGTTTGCCGCAGTGGTCATGCCCCTCACTCCCTGCTTAATACTGACTGATGCCCCTTTCCTCCAAGAACGTGTCCAGTTCCTTTGTGGATCTGGCTGGACTCTCAGCTCCCACTGCATCTGGCGGCAAGGAGCCCCGCACTTTAATGACCTGCTGGGTGAAACCGAACTTCCTTGCGTTAGTTTTAAACTGACAGCCTACTCATTGCATCTCATGACCCCCCAATTCAAGGGACTGACGCTGCCTTTAGAGTCAGGAAGGAAGTTTAGCCCCTGTTCAGATTGGTACGGACTGTGGGGAGAGTTTGCCTTCCTCTGCAACAGGGGGAACGGCCTCCACCTTCGATCTCTTGAACGTATATTGACAACCTGTGCAGCTGCAGGACGGTGGCTGCTGCGGCTCCCCTGCTTTCCCTGTGACAGGGAGGAGCGTGATGTCTGGTGCCGTGTCAGGGTTGATGGTAGTTTTACGAAAATTTCAGATGATGGATGCATCTGGGCTGGTTTGGACAGGGCTGACCATGTCTCAATCAGGGGGTTAGACAAGATGTGACCTCTACAGCTTCCTTCCAGTCCATCTTTTCTATGATTCCAAGACCCCAGCTTCAAACTTCGTCATCCCCAGTTGTGCCCCCAGCTGCTTCCCCCTGCACACATCTCTCCGGGTTTCCTTCCACCCTGCCCCTCCCCATCTGTGGGCAGTTCATTGCAGCAGGATCCCGCTGTACTAGGCATCTGCAAAGCAGCTGACGGCACCATACGCTGGTCTACCGGAAAGCTGCTCCCCGGGCTGGTTTCGCACGCAGCCTCCTGGGAGTGTTAGGGTGGCATTTTCTCTCAAACAGCGCTAGGGGGCTTTGTTCTGAACAGGCCACACACAACTCAAGCCTAATGGCGCTGCTGCAATAGCATGTGCAAAAAAGGAAAGGCTTGAAGGAAGTCAGGCAGGGACCGGCGGGAGCTGTCACCCACGGGGCTGGATTGAGGATCCATCAAGTGTCTCGTCTCCCATGCTGGTCTGGAAAGCCCAGCCCTCGCTCAGCTCCAAACAGGCCTCTGGAAGCAATGACTGGATTAGCTCTGAACAGTAGCTGTTGCCACCTACCGAGCTGCCGGCAAATTACTGCTGCTTGTGGCAGCAAGTGCACTGAAATAGGTGTGTCAGAAGAAGGGACGGTTTATTGAGAGAGGGGGTGGGAAACATGGTCTTCACTGGTAAGGGTCCTAGCTTAGCCTCACTGCCTTTCTCTTCTACAGGACAGTGTGCGTGGGAGGAACAGACTGGCAGGACCAGCAGAGCCAAGAACAGCACAGGGAGATAATTCACAGAGCCGCAGGGCTGGAAGGGACCTGCAAAGGCCACACCTAGCCCAACCCCTGCCTCAGGCAGGATCAGCCCTGTCCACACCAGCCCAGATAAATCCGTAATCTAACCTCTTTGTAAACCTACCCTCAACCCCGACACAGCACCATGACCTGCCACAGGGAAAGCAGAGGGATCTTCTGCTGCTGTGCAAATAAAGCCTTGCACCTCAGGGGAAAAGGATCGTCGGCTCCATTTTCCAGGTGGGGAAAAAGCATGGTGGAAAACGTCAACGGTACGAGCAGGAGCAGAACGCAGACTTCCCAACCCGAGGCCGTGCCTGTGCCGCAGCATCTCCAGCAAAGGAAGAAAGACGGGGTGGAAAAAGTCAGCATAAAGAGGCCAAGGACAAAGTTGCATCTATTCTCCCCTGTGCTGTGGCTCCAGCTGCTCCTCACTCCACCACAGCTCCCTCCTGGGGGCAGGATCTCCAGGTGCTCCCCAAGTCACCACCTTCTCCCCACATCCCCCCCCACACCAGGCTTCCCTGTTCTCCCAGTCTGCCCAGGCTTCCCTGAGGCACCGTCTCTTCAGGGCCCTCCTCTGGGGACTACAAGGTATAGACAAGAGTAACGAAGATGCTCAGGAAGGAACAGCTGCTAGATCAATAGGGAGTAAAAAAGGTTAGGACTCTTCAGTCTGGAAAGGAGAAGGCTGGGGGGGGATATGACAATCGTGAAGGGGGTGCATAGAGCGACCGGTTCTTCCCCAGGTCCCAGGAGACCAGGACTAGGGAGAACCTGCTGCAACGAGCAGGAAATGGGTTTAAAACTAAGAAGAGAAGGTACTTTGTTCTAGGCAGCACATCATTAACTCACAGGACCCATCATCACTGCGGGCTGCAGAGGCAGGGACGGCAGCCAGGTTCGAAAAGGCACGAGACACATTCACAGATGACAGATCCTACAATCCTGGAGATGCGGGGCTAGGAGGGACCTGCAGAGGTTACATCTATCCAAGACTTGCCTGAGTCAGGATCAGCCCTGTCCACAGCATCCCAAAGCCATTGTCCAACCTCTTAGCAGAATGACGATCAACCCTGACACAGAACAAGGCAGAGCCCCTGAACCTGGGAGTTCGCACGAGCATGGGAGTTAGGGGTATGGCCCCTGGATTAGGACTTCCTCGATTCCTAAAACTGCCTTCCTCTCATCAGGGGTGCAGCCTGGGCTCTCCTGAGCATATATTAACCTTTTATAGAAACAGGATGTTGGCCACCACGGTCCCCCTGCTTTCCCTGTGGCACTTGCAGGTGTGATGTCTAGCGCTGTGTCAGTGTTGACCATGTAGTTTTGCTAAAACGTTAGATGATGGATTTGTCTGCGATGCTTTGGACAAAGCTGACCCTGCCTCAGACAAGGGATTGGACTAAACGTGACCTCCGGAGCAACCTTTAAGCCCTACTTCTTTAAGATTTCTGTAAAATGCTGGAGGTTGCATGGCAGGAACAGGGGGAAAACTGTGCTCAGTGGGGGCAGACGACAGAACAAGGAGCAATAGGCTCAAGTTGAAGCAAGGGAAGTTGAGGTCGATATTAAGAAAACACTCTAATGAGGAGGGTGGTGAAGCACTGGAACAGGCTCCCCAGAGAGGTGGTGGACTCTCCATCCCTGGAGGTTTTTAAGACCCAGCTGGACAAAGCCTTGGCTGGGATGATGGAGTTGGGGCTGGTCCTGCTTTGGGCAGGGGGCTGGACTAGATGCGACCTCCTGCTCAGACCCAATTCACTCCCTCTTTCAGCCTCTGCTCTTGTGTGAAATAGGGTTTTTGTGTTAAGATTTCTTCTGAGTCTAGGTCTGAATCCACACAGGACTTTTAACATGCGAATGGCAGCCACGGGCTGAATCTGCACAGGTGGCTCGGTTTTTCTTAAGCAATAGCATCATCCGACTGTTGGGCAGGGTCCCACCTCGGGTGATGGTGACTCCCCTCAGAAGCTGGTTCATCTCCTCATCGTTGTGAACGGCCGGCTGGAGGCGGTGGGGGATGATGTGAGTTTTCTTGCGGTCTTGGGCTGCGTTCAGTCAATTCCAATATTTCAGCTGTCAGATATCCCATCCCTGCAGCCAAACCGACTGGTGTCCCCCGCTCCCACTTGCCTAGCATAAATGCCCCTGCGAAGCAGCCGGTGCTCATGGCCTACAGGGAACTGCAACCTTGCCTGGGAAGTCATTGTCAACCCCTTGATTCGAGGATGATCGCTACCGTGGCTCATGGATGGGTCTTGAGGCGGCTTAAGAGTCCAATCTTTGAGCCACAGACCTGTCTACAGGTCTTTCTGCAGGGGAGAGCAGGCTGTAGGCTGGGATTTCTCTCCTCTTCCTTCCTCTGCTCTCTCTTCTCTGCTTTGAGGGCAAGATGGTTTCCCCTGAAGTGGGCAGCCACTTGGTTGAGGTTGTGGCACCCTTAGAGTTGGTCGGCAGCCAGCTCCTCCCAAGCCTTGACGTCAACATCCGAAGCGTCAACGATAAAGCAGGTATGTGCCTCCGCCACATCAATGATGTGTAAAGGGGGAAAATAAAGTTTACATCCATTTTCTTGAGGGCCGCCTTCAGTGTGTCCCTGTAGCACTTCCTGCGGTCACCGCGAGATCTCAGGCCATTGATAAGCTAGTTTTGGGTGTTGAGTCGGCACATGATGTCCAGCCCAGCTCAGCTGATGCTTAAGGATCACGCTGAGAAAAGCAGCATCCATTTTCTTGAGATGTGTCTTCACCATGTCCCTACGCGCCCGACTCCACGCCGGTAACACTGGCTCCAGCAAGGATGCTGGCATTTGTGTGGCCATTTTCCCATTGGATGCAGAGGATTTTTCAGGAGCCTCTCCGGGCTCTTGACACGACTCACTCCCCTGCACAACAACATGCCCCCATTGCCGACGAGCACGTGTATCCAGAATCAGGCCCCTCCGTCACCCGAGGACCCATCAAGCCCGATGGACGTCAACTCTCGACTCCGAGGGTCTTCGCTTGGCTCTCGCCTGCCGCGGCTGGATGCGATTTTGCTCCGAAGTGACTCTGTTGCTGTTCGGAAAGATTTATCCCCTTCGGGCGCAGGGGCTTCTGCCCGATAAGTAGCATATTGGCCCCCCTCAAGCGGGAAGGCTTCGGGAAAGGTGACGGCTGATTCCTTGGTGGCTCTGCTGGAAGGAAACGGAGCCCGCGGCGGCGGTGCTGAGGGATGGGGCGAGCCCCTGTCGCCAGGCCGTTCCCACCCCCCTGAGGGAGCTGCACCCCCTTCCCCATCCCACCTCACCCCTCAGGGCTGGGAGGACCCTTCCCGGCATGCCCCGCGTCGCGCCTCACCTCCAGCACCACAGTGCGCATGCGCCCGCGCTCCGCCAGGTAGGCCGCGCTGTCCGGGTGGGCGTAGTGCGCGTGCAGCACGGCCAGCGCCGCGTGACAGGCCTGCGCCACCAGCGCGCCCCGCGGCCAGCGCAGGTCGCCCCGCAGCACCACGTACTGCACCAGCTGCTGGGGGGCGGTCGCCGCCATCTTGCCGTACGGTGCGCGCGGAATGCTGGGAGCACCCTGCCGCCATCTTGGAGTCGGCTTAAGCGAGGAAGAGTCGAATTGCCGTACGGAGCGTGGGCGCCGCCATCTTGGAGGCGGATAGAGCGCGGGGGAGGCCGGGAAAGGGTGCGGCGGCGTGATGACGTTTTCCTGCGCGGGCGATTTGAGCGGGACCGGAAGCGCTGTGAGGAGACAATGGCGGCGGCGGGGAACCTGGAGGAGGGTGAGTCGGTCTCAAATAACATGGAGCATCCAGGTGTGAGGGGCCGGCGCGAGGCGACATGGAGCCCAGCCGCGCTGACCTCTCCTCTCCTTCCTGCCTGCCAGGGGTGCTGTCCCGTCTCGAGAAGCTGGAGGCCCGCGCCCGCGCCTTAGCACTGAAGCAAGAGGAAACCAAGCAGCAGCAGAGGGAGGAAGTGGCCCGGCTGCGAGCCAGGATCAGGCAGCTGAGGCGACGGAGGGACGAGCTGAAGGGGAAAGTGAGCCTGCAGCAAGCGGCGGTAAGAGCCCAGCGACCCGCCCAGCCGGGCCTGCTGCGCTCCCGGTCCGTCTATCCCCCCATACATCCCCCCAATATCACCCATAGATCCCCCAATATCACTCCATATATTCCCCCCATAGATCCCCCCAATATCACCCATGTATCCTCCCATACATCCCCCCAATATCACCTATATACCCCCATGTATCTCCCCAATATCACCCACGTATCCTTCCATATGGCCCCCCAATATCCTCCCATATATCCCTCAATATCACCCATGTATCCCCCTATATATCACCTATATCCCCCCCATATATCACCCATGTATCCTCCCATATATCCCCTCAATATCACCCATGTATCCCCCCCAATATCACCCATGTATCCCCCATGTATCCCCCCAATACCACCCATGTATTCTCCCATATGTCCCCCCAATATCACCACTATACCCAGCTGCTTAAGAAGCTGGTCAGCCCCCATTTTAGGATTTTCCCCGTCTCCGTCACCCCTGAATGATCCGTGTCGTGCCCAGAGCGACGGCACCTTCTGAGCGCTGGCCTGAGCTACGTCGGCAAGCAGGAAACAGCTGTATTTCAGTCACTTCTAGGCTGCTTTTCCCTGGTTTCTCTAGCCGGGCAGGCAGGAGGAAGCCACGAGCAGCGGCGCGGAGCCTGTGCAGACGGCGAGGGTGCGGGAGCGAGCTCTCCTGCAGTGGAAAGTGGAGACCGTGGAGGCCATGCTGCGCGTGTTTTACCTGACAGGTTGGTGCAGGCCTGAACGGACGGTTGATTTCAGCAGGGGAAGGGCCTGGAGGGTGCCCCTGCCGTGTAACCGTCCCAGTCCCGGTGCTTCTGGTGTCGCTTGAAGCAGGTCGTTACAGGCGCACCAGAGAAACTGTCAGCTTTTCTGCCTGTTGCTGAACCAGTTCTCTGAGGCTGAGCTGACTTGAGCTGCACTAGCTAGACGGTGTTACTCAGAAGCACGTGCTTTAAATTGATGCTGCTCTCTGGTTTGCTGCGAGACGGGTGGAAAAGCCCCTGCTCTGCTGCTTTACGGGCAAACATTGCGCAGAAGAGGAGCAGCGACGTCACCGTGGCCCAGCATGGCAGCTAGAGTAGACGTGCGACTTAAATGGCTCTGCTTCGTAATTCTTCCAAGTTAGGAGCCCTGTCTGTCCACAGAGAGCATGGGCGTACTCCTAGTGTAAGGAAAAACTGAGCCTGCCATGCTCTCTTAGCAGAGTTTCCTAACCCCGTGGTTTTACGATGGTGCTAAAGACTTCTTTCCACTTCCAAGGGATTAGCGGGAAGCTGACCGAGCGCGGCGTCTGTTTCTGCCTCAGCACGGCCTATGGCGGCAACTACCTGGATTCTTACTACCTCGATATCGTCATAACGCAGCCGGTTCGGATCCATCGCCACTCCGTGCCCGTCTTCATCCCCTTGAAGCGGATAGCTGCGAAGTACTTGCAGACAGACATCCGGTGCTTCCTGGCTACTCTGTCTGCTCACCTGAATGCTTATGTTGGGAGAAAATACCAGGCAGATTACTTACAGGTACGAGTCAGCCCAGCAACCGCTTTAGTATGGTCTTTGTCCTTATACATATTTAAGAATCATAGAGAAGTGGGGCTGCAAGGGACCTCCGTGGGCCATCTAGTCCAACCCCTGCCTGAGCCAGGATCAGCCCTGTCCAAACCATCTCGGACAGATCCATAATCTGAACTCTTCGTAAAACTACCGTCGTTCCTGACGCAACACAAGGCATCACACCTGAACCTGCCACAGGAAAAGCAAGGGGACCACAATGGTCAGTGTCCTGCGTCTATAAAAGGTTGTCAATATATGCTCAAGAAATCCCAGGCCAGAGGCTGTGTCCCTGCTACCAAGGCAGGTCCTGCTTGAAGCAGGGGGTTGGACTACACGTGACCTCCTGAGGCCCCTTCCGACCCCCATTTTCCGTGATTCTACCTGTTGTATTTAGTCTCCTGATTGCTTCCGAGCACCCTCACTGTGCACTATTTTTTCTCCTCCCATCTGGAACAACGATCTTTTTCTCCTTATCCTACCTACTGCGTGTACTTGCAAAATCACAGCATCTCCATAGCTTTCTGTTGGCAAGGACCTTCCTCTTAGCCGTTCAGCCACAAAACATGCTGCTGTGTCCACCCTCTGTCTGCTGGATAAAAACCCCAACATGCCTGTTACCTGTATGATGCTTTGAGTATGAGGAGACAGAGTCAGGGCTATTCAAGATTTAGCGCTTATGTGTTTTGTCTCCATCCATGCAGAAGCATTTTTCGGCCTTTCTGGGAGGACACTGGCAGAAGAACTCCTTGTATAACATGCTGGCCTTTAATTATGACGTGACAACAGAAAGCAGCACCTTTCCCTTCAGGGTAAAGCTGGTTTATGGAGACCTTGACCGCAGTCTTCCCACGGAGGCTAGTGTTTCATGCAAAGGTAAGAGGAGAGCAGCCATGTCTGTATGGAGAGCAGGTACATAGGAACAGCTCCAGTGTAAATCAGTCTGCTCTAGTTTTCCATAGTCTGCCTGGGGTCATACAGTCACAATATTGCTTAACCTACTTGAGCTGCAGCCCTGTGGAAAAGCAGGTTGCCTAACTCCTCCTGTGTACCTGGCTTTGTCCTGAAGAGATCCTGGCCTCTTGCTATACGCTTGTTACAGATCTGTTAAAGTCTCAGAGCTGTGACAGGGTTTTGGATCTACAGGAAAGAGAGAAGGGGAATTTGGGGTGCCCAGGGTGAGACTTGACTGGAAAGAGTCGGTGTGTAGTAAAGAGAGAACCTTCATGCAGCACGGTTTGCTGTTGCAAGAGCCATTGGCATGTTCTGTGTATCAACGTTTGGGGCACCCAGTGTATTACAGCGCCATTCCCTGACGCAGGGAAGTTGAGGTGTGGCCAGGTTTGAAGGGGACCCAGAAGTGTGCACTCCTAGCCACAGTCACACCTGGTTCTGGGCTGGTAAAACCCATAGTGTTAGACCCTATGATCTCCCAGGGTGAGAAAGGAGAGAAACCTTTCTGTGCGCGAGATGTGATTCCTTTCAGTGGTGGGCTCCTCCAGGGGAAGCTCTCTTT